TCTTCATTTTTGTTAAATTATATAACTTTTTGTTATAATTTTGATTAACTATTCATAAAATGATTTATTTATTATATTTGTTAGCTTTAAGTAGATTATTTGTATCTATAGAACTTACATTTTACTTTTTTTTTATTTAAATATTTACAGCATGCAATTAATATGTATTAAAATAACTTTAAAACAGGATTTCCCAAACTTGTGAGTCGCTATTTATCATGCTTTAGTAGATAAATATGTAAAAGTGCGGGGTTGGGGTTATTGAGTACTTATTTACCTCATTTTATTTTACCATTTTACTCCTTTTACTTTCTAATTTTTTATTAAATATAATTTTTTAAATCTATTTCTTAGATGTGTAATAAATATAAATGCGCTTGTTTTCTATTTCTGTTGACAACTTCTTTAACATCGATAATGATGTAAGTCATTTCCAAGCATACACTGAGAAAAATGTCCGTTCAAAAAGTAATAAACGGATATTTCCAATTGATTTTGATCGGATTTATAAGACTATCCGATCAAATTTTAGGACTATCCAATCAAATTTATCGGATTTATAGAACTATCCGATAAATTTGTTCGGATAGTCTTATAAATCTGATCAAAATCAATCGGAAATATCCGTTTGTTACTTTTTGAACGGATAAAGCCCGGAAATTTTTCTCAGTGTAAGGAGTTTGATAATTTATTTCGAGTTTTGCTTCTTATCATCGAATATCTAACTGCACATGTACGAAGTCATGTGGACTCGCGCGAATAAATTTGTATAGCTACGCGAAGTACAGAAGTATATATAGTAATTCTATCATTCTAAAATTTTTCGAGACATACTTTGGAAGTCCCTGCTTTAGAGTATTGTCAATAATATTGTACTTAAAATATAAATTGTACTTGTACTATGTTATATGCATTAATGTAATAATTGAATCTTTCTAGTTATCGTATGAAATACGATATATTATGCGAAATTAATCCGCATATATGTCTAACTAAAAAACATATTATATATCGTAATAGAATAATCGGTGCTGTGGATTTTCATAGAAGAGCCATCGAGTTAGTATCTTAAGCTATAAATTGTGAATTTATTAAAATTGCCTTATGTGTGCACGAATAATATTAGCGAAAGTTTACAAATAACTGTCCATGTCATAATTACGGATATACATATACAGGATGTCTCGAAAGTTTTTGCCAATCGCTTTTGTCTAGATAGAGCGGACTAAAATGAGTCGAAAAGTCCTCTACTATTTTGCAATTTTCGCAATAGTTAATAAGATATTAATTACTAAAAATTGGCAAATATTGGTCTTGAATAATTTTTTACTCAAATACTATCAACTTTATAGAAAAGCTGCAGGAGACAAAAATCATTTATTTTCTTCTCATAAAGTTCTAAGAATTTTTTCAGAATTTTTTAATACCGTATTTTCTCATGTTGGTAAAAATAAGAAAATGCAGAACTAAAAAATTGATAAAAAATTCTGAAAAAATTCTTAGATTTCTATGAGAAGAAAATAAGTGATTTTTTTCTCTTGCAGTTTTTCTGTAAAGTTAATGACATTTAAGTAAAAAATTATTCAAGACCAATTTTTGAAAATTTTTAGTAATTATTATCTTATTAACTGCTGCGAAAATTGCAAAATGGTAGAGGATTTTTCGACTCAGTTTAGTCCGCTCTAGCTACACAAAAGCGATTAGCAAAAACTTTCGGAACACCCTGTATGTACATGACTTTGCATTCATGGGATTAAACTTATTTTAAACTAACTATTGCACTGAGAGAAATGTTTTGTACCAATAACCAAAGTTTTGTTACTGACACAAAAACTATTTGTTGATATATAATCAATCAAACAATTGGTTACCACGACAATATTAATTTGTTGAATTTATTAACTAAACTGATCATTTAATGGTACAAAACTGTTTTGTATGATGTTTATAGATCTTTTGTAATTAGAAATAGAACAGTTTGTTACCGGAACAAAATGAATAATATATAAGTATCTCTTACTTTCTACAGAGTCTAAGATTATGTTTGGCGTTTTTGAATTTCCTTAGCTTAGCAAAAATATATATAGAGTTAGAGCAATTGAGATTACTGATCGCTCTGAAAAAATAGTTACCATGATTGATCATGGTGTGGCGAGAACCAAAAAGTCCACGAGGTTAGTCTCTAATTATCTCGGCTTTATAGAGATAGACATTAAATTTCCGAGGGAGTAACCACTAGATGAAATATTGTCCCACAGATTACATATGACATCATATGATTTCATCTGATTACAAATAATTTTTTTCGCTACATATGAAGTCGTTTGGTAAAATATACGAATTTATTTAATATTATACAATGATTTATCGTGGTTGCATACGTAATTATTGGATTATACATAGAAATTTAATATGAATTTTATAATGATTTCGAGGACTCTGTCCCACGATTACATTAAGTGGTTACACCCTCGTGAATTTCTCTTACGAGAAGACACGCCATCTTTGATAGCTCCGCGAAACACTCCTTGCTCTACCATAGTGGATTATTTTGTTGAAATTACTAAAAGAATATTTATTTTGTAATAGCAACCAAATTTTACATTGGTATTTACAAAACGTGAGTAACCGAATAAATTTGTACTGTTAAATAAAAAAATTTTGTAATTTTAACAAAGTAATCCAATGATAAATCGGCCATTTGTGAATAATTCTCTTTTTTTGTTATCAATACTATATCTTTTCTCTCAGTGTGAAGTGACGTTTTAAAAAATTATTTATGGGTTTGAATTGATTTGTTAAAGAAATTTTTTTCAGTGAATAGTAACGTAAAATATTTTATTTTATAAGATTTTCTGAGTTATTAAAAGCAAGTTTTGGGCAAGTCTATTTAATCATATTTGTGATGGGTGTGTGTTCAGCAAGCATCAATTTATTTAACGTGAATACCGCGACATTTAAAAGATAAGATTTTAATTGTAATTTTTACAAATTTCTTAAAATATTGTGTGTGCGTGTGTGCGTGTGTGCGTGCGTGCGTACTTGCGTGCGTGCACGCGTGAGTCGGGCGTACGTGCATGTGTGTGTGTGTGTCTATTATATTTTTAATTAATTTTAATTCTTTTTCTGTAATTGTAGTTTTCTCGGATATTGATGACGGAAAAAGAAATTTTGGAAATTATTAAATCTATTTTTCTAATAAACGTGCATATTGTATACTTTACTCTAAGTAATTACGCTGGACAAGAATTTATAAATAGTGATACTCATTTCTATCGCATGATGTAAGTCACGCAATTACTATTGTATATTTACTATTGTAAATATACTATTGTATATTTTCACAATACTTTGAATCCTTTCTTAAATCATATAATGTTATAATTATGTACTATTTAATATTTTGTTTGTAATTATATAGATGCAACACGAAATGGTATAATGTTCCGTTAAAAATACAAAAATTGATCCCTTTTTTGATACGAAAGACTACAAAATGTTACAAAGTTGATGCCGGTAGTATATTTAATCCCTGTTTGGAAGGTTTAGTCACAGTAAAGAACTTATTACATTAATACGATACAATACATATCAATTTGCTAATAAATTACCGTGCTGATTAGCTATGTAAAGAATATTTTCTGTTTTAGAGTTTGAGTATGTCGGTTTCTTACTTTATGGTTCTTTATTCTGTGTAATTATTATGCGTACTAAACTACGCAAAAATTTATATTTTTAAAATATACGGTATTTTCACAAAAAAATAAAAATAATTATATATAAAAGTAATAAGTTAATAAATTAAATAACAGTATATATGCACTAATTAAACTTTAAATAATGTGCGCGCCTGCTTAAGCAGCGATCCCTATCAATCCCATATCGATCATCGATTAGCGCGATCCCGACGCCACCGCGGTGCGCCCAAAAAAGAGAGAAAAATGAATCGAACAACAAGATGATGAAATAAAGAGAAATAGTATACGTCGATATCTGTGAGAAATAGTAAACATCGATGCTATATCTTTTGGCTGTGTCTTCCCCTTACAAATTAGGCCACAAATGTGTTTTTTAATTACTTTTTGTTAATTTATTTTGCCAATTCAGTTTATTGTAATAATTCTTTTTTTTTCGTGGTATATATGTAAATAATATAGTAATATAAATTAATAGAATTGATATATTCTTTAAATATGACACATTAAGAATTTTTTAATAAATTCTTATATATTTTTAATAAATAAAAAGTTATTAAAAATTCCTAATGTGTAATATTTAAAAACTTACAGTCTATATATATAATTGATAGCATTAATTCGTTTATGTATAATAGCATAGTATCTAATTACTAAAGAAATTAATTCTATTTAAAAAAATGTTTTATTTGATAACAATTATATAAACTGTAGTAATAATTTTATTAAAGTATCTGTTTCTGAACCAGTTTTTAAGCGCAATTTTTTTCGTCCGTTTTGAAAGTTTATTTTTAAATTCTAAGTTTTGTTTTACTCATATATATATTTCTGTTAAAATTATTATATGTATTATATGTATTAAAACATATCAAACACTTTATTATTTGTTGTGCATCCATTGACTGTATGCACAACACTAAACTCTTATCTGTATAAAATGAATTTGCAAGTGAACTACGCTTGCGCTAAAATAAAATGCAAAAAGATAGGGAATATTTACGATATTATTTCCTGAAAACATGTACAGTTGAACATCTGTAGACAATTTTATTAATTTGCCATTTAGCTATAGCAGCCGAATTTAGACTTACCATAGAAGAAAATTGATTCTATCTTTCTCCTTACTTGATAGTTATCAATAATTTCAAAATAACATCATTACTCATTACAAAACTTTCTTACAATACGAGATATAAAAAACTGTAATAGGAGAAGAGATGTTAGAATTTGTCATCAAAAATATAAGCAACTGATCGAAGCAGTATATAAACTTGGAGAACAGAAATATTTCCAGTGTTATACGAAATGGACTTCAACATTGATCATTATTATAGACTTAATCGTATTTTTCTGTCAGTTATTGGCTTGTGGCCGCATCGTTATATTACATTGAGGCAAATTCAGTGCGTTGTATCGTCATTTATTTTAATATCAGTAACATTTCCTCAAGTATGATAATCGTTTATGTATTTATTTGTGCTTAATTTTGCTGAACTTCCTTTTAAACGTTATATGAATACATGACGTACACGAGGAAGAACCCAAAAATAACTAGAATTGTTTAAAAAATGTTTTTTTTACGTTTTACTTAAAGGTCCTCTTCCCTTAAAAATTTCTAGAAAAATTAAAATATATTCGGCAACAAATTTTCTTAAAAGAAAACAAAACATGAACCACACTGTTTTTTTATCAGCCATCGCTAAAATTGTTAAACTTACATACACAAAAAATATTTAGTGAGAGAAAGAAATTAGTCAAACCAATCAACTGAGCCACTTGACAGACTTTTTCAAAAAGTTTATATACTCGCAATTCCGAATAGGATCCCTACTATATACGTTCAGTTTGCACACCGCATTTAAATTCAGATTATTTTCGGGTCCTTTTTCTATATAATATCAATATTGTACCCCGTAAGTTTTTTAATTATTTTGTTTAAATATTCTTTAAATATGTACAGTAAAATATAATTTTTAGTTAATAAAATTGATTACGATGAAGTACGATGTGGACCTCATTTTAAAAGTTTTATCGTCCGCTTTGCCGTTTATGTTATTTACTGTAAAATATATCTCTTTTTGTTTTGTCATAGAAAATGTAAGTATAGAAATAATATTTATTAACAATCATTATATATTATTGTGTCATATCAATGTCATACTATCAAGAAATTAAATTAATTAGTGAATTAAATTAATTTTGAAAACAAAGTGGTATGAATTATAAGCTCTTTTACAGATAGTAATGATATTAATTGAAAATATCAAAATTTTGTTATATATATTGTCTTATATTCTTTTTATGAACATTTTTTTAAATAAAATCTAAAATGGAGCCAATATGAAAAATCACAATAAATGACTATAAATAGAAGTGTGTAATGAGAACTTGTAAAGTTCGAATCAAGTCGGATCAAATTATATCTGTCGAGTTCGATTCAGTTGATATAATTGCGGGTAATTGAATTACTTTTGATTATTACCTAAAATTATCTATCATCCGAATTTAAATTGGACTCAATTCAGTAAAATCCAAATTTATCTGAAAATTTTTGAACTTACACACCTTTAACGATAAATATATTTTGAATCTGATCGCGAAAATACAGTAAAATTTCAATTTTTACTTTAAGTCATTTTTAACTTAATGCAAATATGTTACAAAAGAAAATTACATTTTTTTACATAAAAACAATTGCAATAAAAAATTATATTGTTCTTATTAAAACTACATATTAGAAACGACCTCACTGATTTCAATGACTTTGATATATATTATCAAGAACATAGTTCTTAAAATAAACACTCAAGTTTTAGCTGCTACTTAATATTTTTTAAAAGTTATTAACAATCAAAAGTAATTATTCTTTCCAGCGTTTTGAAATAAGACAGTTTACGTTTTTATGTAAATATTCAACTTTATATTAAAAAATTAAAGGGTGATGATAAATATTTTCAATCAGTTATAACATATATTTGAATATTAATATATATTTGTATATTTATTTTATTTGTTTACTTTTTATTTGATAACTTTTTCACAAACAACAAGCGATGGCTAATATCTTTTGTAAGTTAATTATGTTAATTAGAACTTTAACAATATAGATATGCCAAGGTCATTGAGTGCAATTAATAAGGCCACCCTAATATGAAGTTTTACTTTATTCTTTTATTTCCATCTGTTATCAATAACAGATAAAGGAATTAATGCAGCAAATGCAAAATGATTGGAACGCTTTGAATGATATTAATGAGCTTGAAATATTTCATCGATATGCAAAAACGGCAAGGTTATTCACTACAACTATAGCAAGTAAATAAATATTTTGATGTACTTAATTAATATGACATTATATGACTTTTAAGTTGTAATGTTTTTATTTTAATCTCAAACATAATTTTCGTGAATATATATAATATGCATATATACGCGTGTATATGTATAGACATACATATATGTATTTGTACATATATATATAGGGTGTCCTCAACTTTTTGACACAGCATTTGTATGCAAGTAGGACGGACTAAACTAATTCGAAAAGTCCTATACCACATTTTGCAATTTATGCAGTAGTTAATGAGGAATTAATTATTAAAGATCATTGAATGAGTGCATGTCTGACCGGCCTACGACCAAATGCAAGCACGCGGCGAAATACGATCATGCAAGGGATTTTATAATAGGTATATCGGAGCGCGCTTCCCATTGAGGAAAGGAGGGTATTCCGATACAATAACACTGTGATGCAAAAACTATACTGTTTTCTTTGTCAAGGACTTGCTAATTGTGTGTGGCTAATGCTGTTTGCAGGAAAAAATCAGAAAGACAAATATTTATTTTGCCTTCCTTTTTCGGCAAACTGTTTTCTATAGTTTTATATATAGGAAAGGCGTGTTCCAATATATTATAGCTCACTGGATACTACCGTCCAGTGGTTGCAATTGCTAGGTGCGCAGGGAGTTGTTTACTACAAACGACTAGGGACCTTCTAGTAAGGAATACACCACCGCTATTAGAAGGATACATATTTAACTAGCTGTCACTCTCGCATCCACGAAATTATAAGAGAGTCTTTGTGCTCACATCAAAGCTTCGGCCACTTCCACCACTTCAAAGCTTATTCCAGTATGAAAACTTATTGGTTAAGAAACTTTAAACTGAAAGATTCCTGTAACAGCCAATACGTATCTTACACGATATGACATATTCCTACTAGAAAGTTCCAACAAACGGCAATACACAAATAACAAAAAAAAACAACTTCCCGCATTGGACGATGATATTTTTGATTCGGAGATACTTAGGAATTAATTTTTTATTAACTATTGCAAAAATTACAAAATGGATGCAGGATTTTTCAATTCATTTTATTCCGCTCTACCATACCCAAAAAATGATGCGATTATTATAGGATATCCTATATGTATATACATATATAGATATACAATAAATATACATACATATGGTCGTATATAAAAATATAACAACGTCGATATAATAGCATCAAATATTTTAGAGTGAAAATTTTAATTTTTATTGTTCGATAATTTTTCAGCATTGATTTATACAGTTTTGATCGTAGTTTTCTGCATTCAATACATGCCAAGTTTTCTTGATGTCATAGCACCATTAAATACAACTCGGCAAGCCGAATTATTATTTCAAGTTGAATATTTTCTCGATCAAAAGAAATATTATCACACGATTCAATTTCATTTAAATGTAGGACTTATAGTTGCTGCGATAACAATTTTATCTACTGAATCGTTTTGTTTAACACTTTCCATACATGCATTTGGAATATTTAAAATAACTAGGTAATTCGCGTTTCCTTTTAATCGCGTAAATAAGCGATATTGCTTTTAGTTTACGTTTTTGTTTCTATAGTTATCGTATGGAGCGTGTAATCGATAAAAGTATGTCAAATACGTTCATGGAAAAGTATTGTATCTTTCACGACAATATAGTAACAGCTGTAAATGGTCACAGGAGAGCAATTGAGTCAGTATCATAGTATGCACGTTGAATTCATACATTGATATATATTTTATATTTTATTAAAAATAGATTATTAAATTTTTGTATATATAATTACATGTGTGTGTGTGTGTGTGTGTGTGTGTGTGTGTGTGTGTGTGCGCGTGTGTGTGCGTGTGTGTGTGTGTGTGTGTGTGTGCGCGTGTGTGTGCGTGTGTGTGTGTGTGTGTGTGTGTGTACCGGGTGTTCAAAATAAGGCGTTACGAATTTTTATCTCTGAAACACGGCATTATTGAGAAAAATTGTTCAGACAACAACTTTTGTCTAAACAATTTTTCTCAATAATGCCATGTTTCTAAGATAAAAATTTGTAACGCTTTATTTTGAACATCCTGTACATGTATCAAAAATAAAAATCTATTATTACAGAAAAAAAAATTTTATGGTAGTAATTCTACTAATTCACCAATTTTTGCATATTTGTCCTATAAAATAATTTCACGGTAAAATAGTTTTACGTTAATTTTTAATAAAGTTTATTTAATATTAATTTTTTTCATATTGACATATCTAATTAGAAATGATTTGACGTTTGATGGTCGACGTCTATTTAACTAATTATTTATAGCGGAATATAGATAATTAATTTCTTTTAATTACAAATAGATATAGCTTTATTTAGCTTCTTATAAATTATTTTATTACTCTTATTAAAAAAAAGATAAGAATTTGTAATCTTTTATAAATATGAGATATTTCTCATTTTTTTAAGATTTTCCGAAATTGTCAAATCAACTTTTGCGATTCCTTATTTGGCTTTGATATTGCTTGGAGTATCTTCATCGAGCGTAAATCTATTTCTGGTAACACAATTATTTTTATTTAAAAATAATAGAGTATATATGACAACATGAAGAATGTGAACTATTGACTTACCATCGTAACATCTTGTTTTGACAGCTCTTCCAAGTAATAATGTCAATGAGCACAATAGATGATTTAATAAGATCTGTTGCATTTGTCACTTGCCATTTAATCTATATGTTTTCAACTAATTATGCTGGACAGAAATTTATAGATCACGATGCTGATATTTACAAAAAAATGTAAGTAATGCAAGTAAAATAGTATGTTGTACGTACATATAATAATATTTTTTTTAATTAAAGATGCAACATACAATGGTATAATGCGCCTTTAAAAATACAAAAACAAATATTATTTATTATGCAAAAAACCATAAAAAGTTATCACATCGATGTCGGTGGTTTGTTCAGTCCATCATTAGAAGGTTTTACAATGGTAATTAAGATTTTTTGAATTTGTGCAATTCTGATAATTATACGAGCCTAATACTTAATCAATAAAATTAATTATTTATTCTAGCTTGCGAGTGCGTCTCTCTCTTATTTTACCGTTCTCTGTTCAGTACGGAAATAATAATAACTATTATTACAGTATACTTACTGAAATTGAAATAATATTATTGGTAAATTGTTGACTGTTGTAATGCTTTAAGCTTGAGATGGCAAATAATAAAATAACCAAATAATTGATACTATAGATCAAAGATATGTAACATTTATATATCGTTATATAATCTTATATATCTTACAAGAAAAGTCTCCTCCATGTGTCTCTCTCCGATTTTAATGAAACTTGATAAATTTGTAAAGGGATTTAAAATTTTCGATATACGTATTCTTTTTATCAGCAACCAATTATGTTTCAGGGGATTCGGAAATCAGCTAAATCGTTTTTCAACAATAACTTCTGAACGAAGTATGATAGCATAACTTTGTAAAATATACAGAATTTCGAAATCTATCCATTGGTATAAAAATTAATCAGGTGCGCTCGTCTATGTTACCTGGCACTCCTCAAGTCACGCACAAGCTGTGTCATAGATGCCGGCTATATGCTAGGGAGAGAACTTGCATTCGAAGGACAACTCGTACACTTCGGCGTACTATATCGGGTCTTGAAATTTTGTATATTTTATACACTTCAAAATTATGTTTATCATGTATCATTAAAAAATTATAGCCAAAAAACGAAAATATTTGGTTTTTTAGGACCTAACTTCACTCTTTAAATATGTATAGTTGACGATTAAAAAATCGAATATTTTTATTCCTTCTACAAATCCACCAAGTTTCATTAAAATCAGAGAGGGAACACCTGGAAGCCCTTCCTTGTTAGTTTCCTTATTACCATTCAATATACGTATTGTTTAGTTACAATTGTTATAAATGTAATTTTCCATATAATGATATAATATTTATTGATGTTATTTTTGATGTATTATATGCTGTTTTTATACGCTCTATAATTCATAATTATTATTTAAAGAATTCTTCTAATTGTTACTTGCTTTTATGTTTTGAATATTTTTAGAAATTTGACGTCCGAAATTCTGAAGCATAAAGTACATAGTTAATGCATTATATTTAATTCTGTACGTTCTGTCGATATGAGATATCCTAGTCTCCACTATGGGTGCGCATCTATGGGACATGAGAAAAATAAGAAACATTAATACGTTCACATATAACTATATAAATTATGATAATTCAGTTATTACTATAATAGAATATAATACAGCAAAGGTATAGATGTTCTTTTTTTCAAGGAACATACATATATGCACTTTTTTTCTTCTGAATAATATTTTAGATTTTATATTCTTTTTGTACGGATATAAACATATTGCATGTATATCCAAACCTCAATTATAGCGTTTATCTTTAGTATCCGTACGACAACAAAGTGCCGTAATGTTGAAAAGTGCCGTAATGTTGAAAAGTTGATAACACATTATTGAAAGAAATTAAGTAAACAATAGCAAGGTAAGGAAAAAGTAACTTCTATAGACTATAAGTTCTCAGTAACGCTTTGACTATTACTTGGGATGGAGCTTTCCGAGGAGAAGTACTATAGATTCAATCACATCCTTTTATCATCGATCGGACTCTGGCCATACGATAATTCTAATATCAAACAAATTCAAGTCATATTATCACTACTAGTGTACATATCGATTTTAACAGTTCAGGTATCTGTGTTGTTTTCTTCTATTTATCACATTTAATTTTATTTATTATATACATATAATATATATACATATACAGGGTGTCTCAGAAAATGTTACTGAAACACAGTGGGGACATAGATTGGATCAAGGGGAACAAAACAGTTTTGTACCATTTTGCAGTTGACGCAATATTTAACGAGATATTAACGTTTAAAGATAGGCGAATACGAGCATCCGACCAGCCTACTGATCATGTACTGCTGCCGGCAGGACGGCCTACCGTCCCCACCA